GTGGCTTTGAAGAGAGTGATATTATGCCTTCTCTCCACTCCATCTCCACTCTTATCTACGTCACTGATTTTTGCTAACAGCTCAGTGGGCATTTCCATTTTAGAAAACCCGGAAAAGAACGCAGATACAGTTGACTTTTAACTTTTGAAACACATTCGTAAGAATCACATTCTGTGACAAATGAAAAGTTGAATTCACAAGCAATAAAACACACTAATGATCAGTCCAACAAACACAGGGTGGTTTGCTGGTACTGTCTTGTCTGGTATGTCCAGAAGCTAACGCTGGCTAACATTAAGAGGGGCTCTACTCTTTGTCTTATAAACTTTAAAAAAGAAAATGCATTTTGATATTTTTTGTGCAGGAGATGATGTATTGAGTCTGAAACCTGATCTGATTGACTGCTGAAGAAGTGGTTTGTGTCATCATCATCACAACTTCAATCTTTGCTGTATGCATTCACTCACACACACTTTTTAGCCTGATTTGGTATTTATGTCACAGCGATTAATCAACCTCATCGCTGTCACACACTGATACACACACTACAGTTACACCCTGTACCTGTGTCGAGGTAGTTGTGCGCGTGTGTGTGTGTGTCTGTGTGTGTGCCTCTATCACCATTCTGCTTATCTGCATATTAGCGCTGGACCATCCCTTTAATTTCCTACAGCAGCTGATAACCATCTCATCTCTCGGCCTCTTAGTCACTCCCACACAGCACTCTGAGATTTTATATGAGTGTGTATTTGTGTGTGTGTGTGTGTGTGTGCGTGCGGTTGTTGACTAATACCATCAGTTCTTTCTGTTACCCAACACACACACACACACACACACACACACACACACCGGGACTGTCAGACAGGCTTTGACATCGTATTGATTTACTTTTCTCTTTGATAAGTGAAATGATCTGTGTGCCATTAAAAGGAGATGTAGAGAGCGGTGGGGATGAGACAGGAGGTCAAACAAGCTGTGGGAGGTGTCTAATGATATTGAAATGATGTGCAGGCCATCACAGGGCACTAAAACTCTCCACCAAAACGCAGGTTGATAACAGTCTGAATTGTAATTACATTAGATTCACAAACTTTTACATTCGCTTACTTTGAATCTGTTAAAAACATCTCAATAGAATCAGTTCTTTTTTGTTCCTACTATAGATGTCCAGTGTGACAAACATTGTTTATCGTGTGATGATAAAGCCAATCTGACAATCAAACACTTCCCAGGAGTAGAATATGTTGACAGCTGCTGGTCAGTTTGCAATGAAATTTGGTCCACATGATTTTCAGTTACTTCTGACCTTGTGTGTTAACATTACATACACTGCTACATGTAGCTACATGCTAACATCAGGGAAACTTGTAATCTTGGTTGCCGATGTTTATTTCTTTGAGATCTTGGATCATATTCCTGTTGGAACATGTCTGGTTATGAAGATTTTGGTTGAGAAGCTTTCAATGGTGCTTTGTTTACGGTAGAAAGTGCCGCCATACTCTGTTACAGTCATACCCTAGCTGTGAGCACACTGCTACATGTAGCTACGTGCTAACATCAGAGAAACATATCATCTTTGGTGCTGATGTTGTTACTTTCTCGGTTTTATCAAATCAAAAACATGTCCCATTGAGTTTCGAAGCTGTTATTGGTAATTTTTCACAGTAGAACCCAGAAACGCTGACCAATCAGAGCAGACTGGGCTTTTTTGGGAGGGGAGGCTTAAAGAGACAGGTGCTAAAAGGAAGAGTTTCAGACATAGGGTGAATACAGGTGTTCCAGCACAGACAATGTGAGGAAAATAAAGTGTTTTTTGAATGTTAAAGCCTGTATACATGTCCAAAATACAAATAAGAACCTGAAAATGAGCATATTAGGTCCTCTTGAATGTAACTGGCTCTGGAGGAAGCAAATTAAACAGCACAATGACTGTCAAACCAAAGCAGAGTGAATAAGTATAACACATCCTGTCCACAAACAACCAGACAAAGATACATTTTTAATAAAACATAGAAAGGACTCGAAGCTTTAGAAACTTGCAGTGACAGGTTAAGTGACCGCTGTTAGTCTGCAGTAGGTGGGTGTTGAGTGTTTTGTGTGCATGTAGCCTGGCGGGCGGCTCACATGTATGGTATTGATTTTTACCTCTGATTTGGTGATGAGATGGTTGTTTTGACTGATAAACAGTCAGACCTAAAATTACATGATGTACATAAATGATATACAGGCTTTATATAGAAATTAATGATTATGTTTTCATGTGACTGCAAAGTGTGTGATTGGATTAATAACATTTTAATATCAGGTGTGAATAAGGGATGAACTGTGAGTCAAATTAGCTCAGTATTATGCTTTTGATGTAACTCTTATGGTTTTTGTGATTTTAGTTTATCTGTAATCTGACTAAATGCAACACATTCATCTGTACATTCAAGTGATCCATTCAGGAGATAAAGTGTGTGTGTGTTGCATGCTGCAAAATGTTTGCGTAGGTGTGTGTGTGTGTTACATACTACATATGGTGACAAGAGTGTGTTTGACAGCTCCACAGCAATTATTGCTTCACCTTAATTAACTCTGTGAGGTCTAGGCGAGTGGCCTTGCAGCAGCCTGTGTGTTTGCGCGCGTGTGCACTGTGTGTACTGAGTCACACCGCATCGTGAGGAGGCGAATGCTAATCTGCCATTTGCTATTATTCTGAGAGACCTTGGGTGAGACGAGAGGATGGAGGTAGAGATGGGGGGAGCAAGACAGCGGGGGAGAAGGAGAAGAAGCAGATAGGGAGGTTATGAATGAAGCCTTTGTGTGTGTGTGTGTGTGTGTGTGTGTGTGTGTGTGTGTGTGTTGGTTGTAGAAAAGAGAAGTAGTGCGAATTAGAAGTATGAGAGGAGTGAGCGCCTGTATGTGAGAAAGAAGTGAGGCGGTGAGAGGCGTCATGTGTCTGGCGCCCATTATGTACATCTGCACCTCACCAAGGTCGCTGAGAAAGAGAAGAAGTCTGTTAAAGTTTCTTTAAGCACAAATATGTTTGATCAAGTTTGTATTTTACCGAGGACTCAGGTGTAATGGATTTACAGTATCTTTGTGGGTTATCTGCTTTTTGTCAAGACATTACACTGATGTTTGTGACAAAGACAGTTGACCTTGGTGTAATGACTCAGCTCAAAGCCAGTTCCCTGACCAATCATAGGTTGACAGAGTTGACAGAGTTAGCTTGTGACCAGAATATTGGTGGTTCTGTCCTCACAGTGCCATCACTAAGGTGCCCTTGAGCAAGGCCCTTAACCCCACCTGCTCCAGCAGAGCTGCTCTGTAACCATCTGATACAACTGTGTGAACAGGGCCTGACAACAATGGTTGCAAGGTTGCCATTGGCAACTATTTTGAGAAATTGGCAACCAGTGCGTGGCCTTTGGATGCAATCAGTGGCAACCACTTTTTAAAATATGAAAAATAGTGACAGCAAACAGCAAAATGTGCACCCCAAAATAAATCAGTGTCTAATATGTGTTGCATTAGTGATCTTTAAGTATTGCTGTTACAGTCAGCAGTGGAACCTGACAATGCTGCACATACGTTGGAGTTAAGGCTGCACACATTAACTGATGACACTCAAAGGATCAGTGTGCAGGATTTAAACTGGTCCTTTTTCACAGGGCATCCTCTAGAAATAAAATATAAATAAAATTGTGCCAAAAATTAAATCAACAGAGCACTGATCTCACTTTCATCTTGTCTTACATTCCTGCTGATTAAAAGAAAATCATTGCATCAAAATCAGACTTAAAAATCAGATTCTTCTTCACCTGAATTTAGTGCATCTCCTACGGCTGCGTCTCTTGTCACTGTATTATTTTTTTTACAGCAGTCACGGTACTGTGACTGCTCTACAGCAGCTCTGTTATGAATGTTTGAGTTGACACTGGACAAGGATGGGGATTCAGTGATTCTTGTTGGCCTTCATGCATTCATCACACTGCAGATTGTGGTGTTTTTTTCAGGGAGTTTAACAAGTTAGTTACCAGTAGTTCTATGCATATGATTTGTTCTCTCCTAAATCTGAAATACTTCCAAACAACAGATGATGACGGTTGTTGAATGGATGATTTTCGTTTAGCCTGTCTGCAGTTGCAACATTTCGGAAAGTTTTTCATAGACTGTAACTGCAGTCTATGAAAAACGTTAGGTTGCAGTTTAGGGAGCGCTTGATTTGATTTGCAGCAGAGTGGGGCACACATTTTAAATTTCAATATAACAGCTGATCACGTTTATTTAATTGTGGGAAACCAAAATCGTGATTGTGATTAAAATTCGATAAATTGTGCAGCCCTTATTCATAACTATGTTTTCATTACTATATAATCATGTTGTCATCAAAATAAGAATCATTGTTTTTTCATTACATGTAACGACTATATAACTATATAACAAATGTTTATATCTACATACGGAGTGGCTCCTCTTCCATAGAGTTTGCCATGTTATCTCTACAGTAGCCCAGAATGGACAAACCAAACACTGGCTCTAGATAGGGCCATTCATGTTTTCACGTCGACCACTGTAAGTCTCCTACGTGCTTGGCACACAGGAGACGTTTCAGCTGGTTGTAGTCTGAAACCTCACTTCTAGATGCCACTGAATCCAACACACTGGACCTTTAAGATTAGAAATCTTTAAAGTTTAAGATGAAACATAAACTATAAAGAATTTTTAACTGTGAGTGTGAAAAAAGAGCTTTTTTCTGTCAGTGAAACTTTGGATGAGTAAAGTGTGTGAATTGCACACAGCAGAACATCTTTATCAGACTTTCTTTTTTTCACAATGCCTAAAGAAAAAGAAATACATCCTCTTCCTCTCTTCTACTTCTTTTTTAGCTGCTAAGAATCCGTACTGAAGCCCACAAAGATCAGGTGTTCCTCTGAACTGCTTTGTTGTTCATATTGAATTTACCTGCAGAAATCACTGAGTGAGTAATCGTCTTTTATTTCTCTGTTTCCCAGGCTCGACATGGCATGGCGACTTACGCTGAAGTTGACAACAGAGACGATCAACACCTCTGAAAAAGACGCAACCTGTGCCTGATGCTGACCATCCTTTCCAAAGGTGAGCAGCCTTCAATCAACGTGTTAGATCAATCTGATAAACTTAAAGCAGGCTGTGAAGGTTTCTCTTATTGACTGCATGTTTTTATTGACTCTATAAAACTCGGACACATCACGCCGTCCTTTGTTTGTAGCAGAAGGATACATACTGCATGACCCCCGCATTGAAGTGCAAAGTTTGGTACAAACAAAAATCCTGGTGGTAATTTTACTTTGACATTCAAATTGTTACATTTTAAGATATGACTTTGGGCTTTTGTACGAGTTTAGTTAGATCAACTGCATCTGTGGCCATTCGTTGCTTGGACCTTCCTGCTACAAAAAGTTTTTTTTTTTTTTTCATCTCTTTCAATCCTCCCAAGGCCGATACCGAGTGTGTGTGTGTCTGAGCATGTGTATGAGTGTGTGTAAGAAGCTTTCAATGAGATAAACACTTGAGCTACAGATTCTGTGCGGAGGGAAATCTATAATGTTTAATACCAAGGTCAGAGTTATTGTTTCTGTCTCTCTCTGCCTGTATGCTCTGCCACAATAGGCATATTTTTCTCCCTCAAAGAAGAAAAGTTTCCAATCAAACCCTGCAGCTGAACGCGTGTGCGCAGCATGGATGAGGTGAAGTGTCAACACCTCCATCTGCACCTTAAATCGGCAACTAATTATCAGAGGCCCTTTGAATGAGGACTTCTCTTAGCAGTATCTGGATAAAGCTGGATTTAGTTTTGTCTGATGAACAATACAGGACTTCTGCTAAAGTGAGTTTAACCCAAGTACTTTGTGAACACACTCACAGACAAGCAAGCTTTGAAGGACGAGGCTGGTAATATTTTAAAAAACAATTTGCCCTAAAAAAAAATCCCCTCAAAACCTCTTCTTGTTCCTCCATGCCACAGAGCTCTATTTTTGTCCAAGAACTATTAAAAACACACCAATGAGCCACAATCCTGTTCTTGTTCCATCATTACAGTGTCACTTTATGTTATCATGAATCTAACATATGCAGGATTACCTTTAAACCATCTCATGTTTATTGTGCTCATTGATTAAGTCAGCTCGGGCTGAAACTAACAACATTTTTATTACTATCATTGAACAATCTGCTTATTATTGTCCTCCGTCAATTTATAGTTTAGGCCGTAAAATGTCCAAAATTAAAGATATTCAATTAACTCTCATATATGACACAGAACAGTGTCAAGTCCTTACATTTAAGGGGCAAATACTTGATCATCTTTAAATCCAAATGTGACAGCTGACACTTAAATTTAGCTTCTTATATTGTTGTCAATTGAAAGAGGCATTTTATGTTTTCACGTTACAGGTTGATACCTAGAATCTTAGGTATTTGTAAATCTGTAAATCACTCTATAGCTACTCATAAAAATGGAAGTGGAAGCATTCTTACTAAATTTTGAATAAATAAAGTATTTTAAAAATAAGTATGTTTTAATGGTACAAAATTGTAAAAGAAAAAAAAAATCATGATACAAAATGTGTCCATTCTAACCTGTTATAAAATACCTTCAGAATCAGAAAACCTTTACTGTCCCTTGCAAGAAGCAATGGAAATATGTCTTTGACATGCTCACAGATGCACATAGAATAAAAACACAAGTTAAAACACAGTTTAAACATAGGACATCAATACAGAATAAATACAGTGAGGACATTAAAAGATTTCATTGTGAGTTGTTGATGATGTTGATGGTGGATGAAATGAATGATTTTTTTTACTAAGTTTATTCTTGCTCGGGGGACCCTGTATCTACAGCCTGAGGTTTTGGTGTCACTGCTTAATTAAAAACAGCAGTTCACAAGCACTGCCCACACCATCAGATAATATTTGGATAAAATATTTCATTGGATATGAAACATATGAGTTGTGACTGGCAGATGTGGGCTAGGCTTAAGGTAAGATCTACCATAACTTCAGCAGACCCCAAGGGACCCTATGAGAGACAACGAGTTTTTAGGATTCTAGGACACTCAAGGTTTAACCTGGACGTCTGTTGGAGGGTCCAGGGGATCCTCTCCTGGCACTTAGCCCTGATAAATATGCTTTATTTTGATGCCTTGTTTGCAGTCAAAGTCCACAAAAAGTTCTTAGTGCAAACCAATTTATTTTTTATTGTGAATTATAAAATGGTTGGTGGGCCATACGTTGAGTATCACTGTGACAGAGGGAGAGTAATGAGGGTGGTGATGGGGACTGGCAGTGCAGTGGATTTATAGAAGTGTTTGAAGTGAGGTCCGTCTCCTGAGCGTTGGTTCAATTATCTCAGAGTCAAGAGGAAGTACTACACCGTCAAATAGGACGAGAATGTACAGTAATGTGTTTGGTGGATGCATGGTTCATTTCAGATGCTGTAGTGTGATTTTATGTTCCTAAAAATACGCTTATGTTGTCTGCCGGACTGAAAACGTGAATCTTATCAGTGCAGAGTGACAGTAAGTGCTACTACATAGAGCGATATATGTAGTGTATGTGGGAGTCTGTGTGTTTTGTGTGTGTGTGTGTGGCCCAGAAGGAATAGAGTGCTGACAGCACAATGATGAGATGATAATGTATGTTCTTCAGACAGAATGACTGACACGGCTGCTTCCTGCTCTTATCCTGATCATCTGTCCAGTTCCACTGACTGAGCAGTGACGCTCCGCAGTCTTCACCCAGTCAACCTAAATACCTACCTGACATGCACGTGGAGGACGGTGTGTGGTGTGTGGAGGGATGAATGATGTATGAAAACTAAAAATCACATGATGTCAGGACGGCTGCAGGGACAGCTGAATGATTTTTGGATGTATTTTCCAGAGCAACCTCCAAACTAAAATATCTCAACAGATATTGAATGGATTGCCATGAACATGTGACCCACGCTAGGAATAAAAAAGTTAGGATTTCTCACTCTCTGTCACCACAAACTTTTTAAATACTAGATATTTTTAATGCAGCATCTTTAATTTCCAAACTGTCTCCTTAGTATTTCCCCCCCACCGAACACCTCCCGCCGTCCTCCTGTCATGCGCTCGATCCCTCCACCGCTGTCATGTCACTGCTTTTATCTCGTCACCCTAAGCAACACCTCTCCATCTTATTGTCTCGCTGCTGCTGTCTGTCTCTTTGTTGCTCTGATGAGGGTCAGCGGGTCAGCCGGAGGGCTTGTCATTAGCTGGGAGTGTGCACGTACATGTGCATACATGTGAAGTGTGTACACAAGATAATAAGGTCCTTTAATGACCGCTGAGAGGAAATTGTAGCGGAGAGGGAAAGTAGCAGGACAAAGCATTTAACGGAGAAATAAATGAATGTATGCGGAAAACAACATTACACACTCGGCCTTTCAAAGTGCTTTGACTTGCCTAAATATAACTTCAAAAACATGATCCAGATTACTTTAAATTTACTGTTAAAAATTAGTTTGTGGAGATAGACTTGCTGCCAGCCCACATGCCTCACTAAATTTAACTCTGAGACACTTAACCCTCAGAAATCGATGTAGAATCATCACAGGAAAATTATATTTTAATGCTATTTTACCAGCTGATATCCTGTTTAAGCGTTCAGCAATTCATGTGTAAATAAAAAGTAAAGAAATTAAACTCCTTTGATATAACATGCCGTATAAATGGAGATATTTATAGTGTATTTTCCCCTGACACATGCAGTCACTCTGCCAGGCGTCTCCCTCTTTCTGTCGCCTTCCATGCTGACCAGTTGATGTCTCTCTCTTTCTCTGTGGTGCTTTATCTGTGTCAGCCCAACAATAGGCACCAATAGGAAACTGCTGATGCCGTTGTGGTGGTAGTAAACAAACAGCATCCAGAGCTGTCCACCAGCCTCCCATTCGATCATTTACCGCTCTCGCCTCTCTTTTCTCTGGGTAAATTTAGCACATTTCTATCTGCAGTGAGCCTGTGCGATGTTGGAAATAAAAACCTATTTACAGATATGAATTTTTACCACAACACATGAAGCTATATTAAGATGAATCTAACATTAAAGTGTGCTGGAGGAGAGTGTGTGTTGGCTCGCTGGCCTGTCCCTCCAATTTATTGTGTAATGAAAGACTCGCTGGGTATTGACCATGTAGCTCTTCTGTCTATGTGTGTGTGTGAGACCATAGCTTATTGTGCTGGCTGGTAATGAGGGCTGCTTGGCGTGTGCTGCTACCGTCGCTGGGCCTGTTTGTTTAGGTGCTGGTGTTCTGCGTGTGTGTATTTACATACACATGTGCACGTGTGTGTTTGGATGCCACTATTTGTTCAGCTTCGCCTGCTTTCTCAAGGTTGCCTCATCGCAGCCAGGAGACAAGCATAATAGTGGTGTGTGTGTGTGTGTGTGTGTGTGTGTGTGCGTGTGTGTGTGTGTGTTTGCCTGGGGGAATAGAATCTAGAGTAAACACACATGTCCATCTCTTTCCCAGGTGGAGTTGGATGAATGAATGAGCCGACAGTGGTATTGACAAGCTGACCCACTGCTCATGTATGTGTGTGTCGTGTGTGTGTGTGTTGCTCTAAAACATGGACGCATGGGAGAGAAATTTGAGCTGCAGCTTGCACACACTTGTTCTGTATTTCAGCAGCAACAGTTGTCAGTTTAACTAATTAGAAATCAACTTATGTACCTTTATGGATTTTTTGGATTTTTTTTAAACCTGCAAATTACAACATTTACAACTGACATTTTCGGTGAGTAATTAAAGTCCAACGTCTAATTTCAGTCCACTGTCTATTTTTGACATATAGCTTCAGTGTCTGGTCTACATTTCCCATGAGCTGCAAGCGAATCTGGCAAATAAAAAAAAAACAAAAAACACTGATAATCTACTCTGAACAATATAAGGGATATTAGATATTATACAAGTGATCTAAACATGATATATCAAGAAATACACAACTAGTGCTTCCACTTATGTCAGCCGTGTCAAAACAGAGAGCAAGAGAGACGAGCAGTCACACACAAACACACGCACACACACAAGCAAATGGAGACAGAGCTTTACG